ATATAACGGCATAAATGTACGCGACGTTATAGAACATATTAGATAATTTTGTATTTCAGTTTCATTTCCTAAAGGTTTTTAATTACTTTATAAAATATTCTTAGTTATTTGAGAAGAAAATTAATCTTTCGATTACAGATTATTTTTTCGGGGACTTGGCAAACTGGGGCTGCTGGTGGAGCTGGAGAAGATGTCGAGCAAATCAACAGTTACCTTTCTAAATTGAACATTACAACGAAAAACATGTGTAAAGCAGGTACATTTAAGTTATGAGTTTTTATCATAATCATCATAAATATAAATATAATGAATCCATAACAGAGAAAACTGTCTAAAAGAATAAGACAATGGCAGTATAATTTTGTAATATTGATGCCAACGAGTGTCTTTAAACTTTCTAAATAGGTTAGCCTCTCGCCTGCTTTCCTGTTAATATAATCCATATATTGTAACTTATGTTTACAGGAAGAGAGGAACATATCACAGAATCCGTCTTCCATTGGAACCAGCGGAAGCGAGATAACCTTGCCTTAAGCTTAGCAACCCGATATAAAAAGGTATTTCATTCTTGATAAATTAAAGTGATTTTCATTTTTGATGATTTAACATTAGTTCACATACAAAAACAGCAATACGAACACATATTTCATTCAATTTCAAAAAAGAATGTATACATCATATAGAAATAATTCTAGTTGAGGTGACGTTTGATTGTTGGTTAATTGGCGGAATGATTAACTTATTTGTATTAAAATATGTACAATATATATTTTACAATTGGTTCAAATTCCATTTACATTTTATCCGTTTAGTACACAGCATTGGCGTAATTGCGCATGTGGCATTTAAGTACTAAGATCTAAACATTTTTGTACTAAGATATAAACATTCTACAAAGAACAACTTGATAAAATCCCTTCCGCATTTTGAATTAACAGGCACAATCCGACGTCATTGAGACTAGAGAGGCGCTGAACAACTTGAAGGAGGTTAATCAGATTTCAAACCGAGAGATTGCTGAATGGCTGCAAGAATTGAAACATATAGCAAAGGGTATTTAATCAAACTTTGCATTAAATATGTCAGACCTAGGGCACTTGATGAATAATATCTCTTCATCGATAATCGAAACGTCTATTCAAAAGATCCATGTGATGAAATGCCAAACAGTAAATAGACCGAAACATTGTGCCTAGTTTAACTCTTAAAATACATTGATTTTAGGCGAATGTTGCACATTTTGCCGAAATATAATTTCATTTTATAGGCATTTATTTTATGTTTTCTATAAGTATTTATCATATATATGACTATATTTTATTAAAATGATATTTCTTATGTTTATGTATCTATAGATGCAGCAAGTGAGACGAACCGAAAAAAAACTTTTGAGGAAAAGGTTGAGCTGTTTACCCTTCACAGGTTATTTTGCGACCATGAACATATATCAAGTTATCTGTCGCAAACATCGATGGGTACAGCCATAATGCTGAAGACAACAGACTTATACGAAGCTGCAGCAGAGATGGACAAAGAGTTACCTAGAAAAAGAGAGAGGCTACGTTGTCTTAAAACCAAATACGAGGATAATCAAAATGCGATGGATGATGGGTTCCGACTTCTCGTGAGAAAAACTCTTGGCGACCTACAAAACAAAGTCGAGTTGACCCAGATTTCAATCAACCAAAGGATCCAAACTATACACAGAGCTGCGGGTGAGAGAAATGTTTTAAAACGCATTCAGTGAATTTTGATTTAGAAAATATAGTAAAACAATTGCAAGGTAATAAATTGCAAACAAATATGAATTAAAAAGCGTCATAACAATATTTTAACGTTCAACTTGGTCACAAAAAATTAAATATCATCTGGATTATACAAAAATGACTTTTATTCCACCTCAAATAAAAAATAGTGGGACTAGTGTTGTTTTTCTTTTTATTTGTGATTTTATATACAATGCGGGAACATAATGTTTAATTGCAGCTGATCTTAATGTTCGTTGCGATATGACATTGCTACATTTTGTATGATTTCAGATTCATCAAAGAAGAGAACTAGTCTCTGGCAGAAGGTATCAGCTGAGAAGAACGAACTGCATCGACTAGTTGAGAAATATAATCGACTTTGCGACGTATGTCCGGGGGATATGGTCCACCACCAAGTGACAGTGGATGGAGTTTTGAAGGGGGATATACCATGGCTTAAACAACTTTCTGGTTTGTATTTAATATACACCTCTTATAAAGTTGAAGTACATTAACGTTTTGTAACATGTCATCACATAAATACCATAACAAACTTGGGATTGACATATAAAACTTTGACATTTAAGGCATCATTGAATATTTATTAAAAGAAGAGAGTATCCCATATTAGGCAATCGAAATATTTACATATTACCAAGAATTCAGGTCGATATATATTCTTATTTATATCTTATGGTTTCAGAAGATTCTTTCCCGATCCGCTTCAAGAAGGAAGTCGTTGAGTGTACTTTGAGAATTCAGCGACTTATAGAAGAGGAAGCGTTAATCAAGCAAGAAATGATTAACTACATCAACTACTGGTCCATGGCCAGACGCAAAAATAATGCTATGCTAACAAACATAAGCAGAGGCGAATTCAAAAACACAAAGGACACACAAATGTATAGTTTAAGTGAAGACAACTTAGCCGATATGACAACAAGTAATGGTTGCATTGCATTGCTGAAGGAAGGAAATGCCTTCTGTAAATCACAGTTAGCGAAAGGCGCAGAATTGTTTACATTTGCACTAAAAGACATAGTGCTTCCATCTTCAGACTCTTGGAGCGCAGATGATGTTGACTATGATGAAGAGGAAACATCCTGATTATGACTTTGAATATACACAACCATAGAGACAGATCCGATATATTTCTATACATGGTGTTTGCCTCAATTGTTTACTACATGTACTTATTGTTCAAAATTTACCAATCCTGACTTAGTGCTCATCTTGATTCACAAGGTTTCGATTGTTCCTACGACGATGCTTAGTGCTTCCATCTCCAGATTCTTGGAGCGCAGATGATGTTAACTTTGATGAAGAGGAAACGCCCTGATTATGACTTTGAATATACACAACCATAGAGACAGATCCGATATATTTCTATACATAGTGTTTGCCTCAATTGTTTACTACATGTACTTATTGTTCTTTTACCAATTCTGATAGAAAAATATATTGAAAATAATGTTAGTTAATTACTGTGCATAATCACTAATGTAATATGTGAGATTACATGACCTTTGTTTGTATTATATTATACTGGTTAAGTTTGCGTTTCATTTTATATTGTTTTGTATATTGTATTGCATTTTATTACATTTTTCCACTTATTATACTATATCACAATGCATCGTATTGTATTTCACTCGATCTGGTATACTCGGAGATGAAAACCCAGTCATTTACTCTGATTTGTTTTACCTTTTTAGTGACTCAATAATGTATTCACCTTTAATTGATTCGAAGTTGATGTTTGTTAGAGAATTTTATATTTTCAATAAATGGTAGCCAGAAGTGCAATAGAATCGAGTGAAATAAATTTCAATGGAAAATTATTAGATGCTTTACTATTATTTCTAGACAGTAATGGTCAAAGAAATATGGAATTAAATAAAATCAGAAAGTATATACTTGTGACACTCAACATATCTACCCGCGCATACTATTCTCGATGTTCCAAATCTGGACATTCAGAATATGTGATGGAAATCGATTGTCTGTCTCATTGATCATCTTACAGATTAATTGACTGATTGACATTATATAACAGGACCTGTTGTAAAGGAGTTTATTGTAATTATCAATTGGGATGGAAATTGATTGTTTGTCACAGTATGTGATGGAAATCGATTGTCTGTCTCATTGATCATCTTACAGATTAATTGACGTTATATAGCAGGACCTGTTTAAAAAGGAGTTTATTGTCATTATCATTTGGGATGGAAATTGATTGTTTGTCACAGTATGTGATGGAAATCGATTGTCTGTCCCATTGATCATCTTACAGATTAATTGACGTTATATAGCAGGACCTGTTTAAAAAGGAGTTTATTGTCATTATCAATTGTGGAAATTGATTGTTTGTCACAGTATGTGATGGAAATCGAATGTCTGCCCCATTGATCATCTTACCGATTAATTGACGTTATATAACATGATCAGTTGAAAAGGAGTTTATTGTAATTATCAATTGGGATGGAAATTGATTGTTTGTCACAGTATGTGATGGAAATCGATTGTCTGTCCCATTGATCATCTTACAGATTAATTGACGTTATATAGCAGGACCTGTTTAAAAAGGAGTTTATTGGCATTATCATTTGGGATGGAAATTGATTGTTTGTCACAGTATGTGATGGAAATCGATTGTCTGTCCCATTGATCATCTTACAGATTAATTGACGTTATATAGCAGGACCTGTTTAAAAAGGAGTTTATTGTCATTATCAATTGTGGAAATTGATTGTTTGTCACAGTATGTGATGGAAATCGAATGTCTGCCCCATTGATCATCTTACAGATTAATTGACGTTATGTAAGAGGACCCGTTGAAAAGGAGTTTAGTGTAATTGTAAATTGGGTTGGAAATTGATTATCTGTCACAGTATGTGATGGAAATCGATTGTCAATTTGCGACTGATTTGACTAACTCGTGTACTTTGGACAAAAATATCTATTTTGTACAAAGTTCATCTTGCCCAAGCATAATGTCGTTACAATTCACCGTATGACTACAGGCCCGAGAGTTCAATATTAACAATTTTCAACAAGAATGATATTCCACACGAATCATCAAAAATGGTCATGGGGAGTAAGTCTCCCTTCTATATTGATAATATAGAGAGGTGGGGCCGGGGGCTGACTTACTCCCCTTGAACATGGTAAATATACATGCTTACTTACCTTGCCCAAATCTGAATTTGACGCTTATATTTCTTTCTGGAATAATGCAAATGAAACGTTGATAACAATTGAACATTCACTATTATGTTTAGAGTTAGTAAGACATTTCAAAGTCAACAAGAAAGCATGGCATACTAAGCACTGTACTATGAGTGCTGTATCTGGCTAATGTTCGATTTAACACAAAGGACTTCTGGAATCTTTGAAGTTCATTTAAAGACATTTATTCCAACAGCTGTAATTTTGAATGAATGTTAATGGTATATTGATGAGTTTCTGTAAATGGAATAATCTGAAACGTTGATGATAATATACTAAAACGTTGAAGTTTGAGTAAATGTATCTGCATCTTACATTCTTATTGTCAGAAACCAAGACTGGTGTCTTATTATTACACGTGCGTTAGGCAAAACATGTCTTCAAATTCCGAAGAGGATTTTGTATTGCGTTTGTCAGAAGATGAGCATGACGTACCCGGAAAGAAGGTAACTATATAATACATGTATATGTCATTTTGTTTGTATTGTTCTCTTGAAAATGATAATTTTAATTCAGGATATTGGTCTTAAACAACGTAATGACTAAATAGTAACTACCTGCGTAATAAACACTTCATAAGATTTGGCTAATTTTCCTAGGATATGAGTTTGATGTAGTGTATGAGAGATAACATCTGCATTATCTCAACATTATGTTTTACTCTCAATCGAAGTGAATCTCATAAAAGTGATAAGACAAGTACTGCACTTTGTTGTTGATAATCTAGTTGAATAAATAAGCTATATTTAGAAACAAATTACAACGACATATAAGTGATAAAATAAAGTACTTATTTTCCGTCTAAGCCATTTTTTCTTATCAAAATTGTGTAGGAGTACATATTATTCTCACAGAGCTATCTTGGAATTTTGAGGTGGTTATAACAGAACAGAGTTGGAGTTTGAACAACATATCACGAAACCTTCTGATTCAAGGAGCACTGTAACAATGCGCAATTTTCTCATTTCAAGATTCGCTAAATAGAGATGCAAAGCATAAAGTGTGTATCCGCTCGAAGCACTAAATATATAAGAACAAATTCATGTAGGTACTTGCGACTCTAATGATTTAACATCCTTTTAATTAAGGAAATTGAATGAGGCAACCCAAAACAAAAATACAAACATACAATCAAAGTAGTTATAACATGCTCAGTAGTTTCGTATTATCGTTTCATTTGTTTTGAGATCTTGAGCCTTGAAACCTTAAAAATAGACCCGAAATTAAATTTCTAGAAATGTTGTTATATGACAAATTGGAAGACACAGTGTCGTTACTAATGAACACCCTGTAAATAAATTAATGCATCGAAGATAATTTGTTTCCTGAACAACACGATACAATAAACACAATATATACAATAAATTACACTATACAATACAAAACAATACGCCAAAATGACATGCGAATTCGTATTTTTGGAGATGCGCATTGTACAATACAATAAGCTAGAGGACCATGTGTATTATGTATACAGTACTCAACGTATATAGCTATCGGCCCTATTTTTCAGAGTTTGCAAGGAAAAGCACAAAGAGAATGTTCGTCCTGTAAGCGTGTATTGGCGATAAGGACTAGAAAATGCCCAAGTTGTGGCAATGTATTCCCCAAGAGAAAGATTCAGGTCAGGAAATTGGCATCAACGACTGATTTCGGGAGGAAATATAAAACAATGAAGAAACACGTAAGTTTTTTTTGATATAATTAAACATGACATGGGCAATGCTAAATGATACTTAATTACCCAAATGCGAGTAGGTAGTTACCAGTTTCACCACCAGGTGGCTGAGTCGGGTCAATTAACATGGCAGGTATATAATTAAGTTCCCTTAAACTTGAATATTATCAATTTAAGTGGCTCAATTTTCATATAACCCTTATGTGTCTGATACTTATACTAATGGAAATATGTCCAGTAAAGCAAAATATTATCTGTCCACTAAAAGAAAAGATATTTCATTTTTTGTGATTTTATAGCATGGGGTCTATGGGGAATCTTCCCGAGCTAGAAGTCACATTTTCAAAGAAAATTATTTTTTCAAAGTTGATAAACACTTTTTAAAACCACATTTCTAGAAGTAATTTTACATGTAGATTTCAAATATGATATTACTTTGACTTGATTCTGAATTTTTAATGACGTAAATCAAGATTATATCTACTCGCATCTGGGTTATTAAAGTTAATGCATAAGTTCAAATGTGTTTTCTTTATCTAAGTTCTGTTTGACCATTATACAATTAAAAATAAATAAATTAAAACTATTTTTCAGGCAGACGAGCTCCACCTGAGTGACAAGTGGGACATTGTCATAATAAAGTGCAAAAAGCATACGGGGCAACAGGGGCAAAGTTACGAATGTTATGGGACCGAGGGGATTGGGAAGGAGATAGCAGATGGCATCGCACCTGATTTTGAAAAATTGTTCAAAACCAAAAACTTCGGTAAGATATTTAGAATGTCCATATATAATATTCTAAGATCTTAAATTGGGTGTCTTGAGCGAGAAACGTAAATGTAAAACTCACACAAGTGGTTATGAAATACTTAAACATCAATACATATTCTACAGTATATAATATGTGTTTTTATTAGACTGTTTCTTTGATAATACACATAATGACATCATCTTTTTATATTTATTATTTCATATTCACATTATCAACACTAATTCGAGTATCGTAAATCCAATATTTGCATCAAATAGAACAGTCGTCGCATATGACCAATATTCCAAAACAAAAACATAAAAAGTTAAAACCAGGTATGCTATCCGACAGGTTCAAAGAAAGCAACCGAAGCAACAGCTGTAGTAGAGCAAAATACAGACGGCGCAGAAAGAGCAACTGATGAAACAACAAGGACTTCATCGTGAGGTAACTGAGTGTTCTCCAATGTTCATGATACATGCCCCTTTGCTTATGGACTAATCAATCAAGCAGAATCGATGATTGATGCAGTATGAACAATGTACATTGTTACTATTTTATGATTGAAAGTGAAACTGATGCTATACATACATGCTGTTGCATTTCCATATTTATTAGCATATTTAAGACATAATTATATATACATACAAGTTATTTAAATGTTTGTTTACAATTATTGACAGCTTGAACTTATCAACCAATGCTATTAAGATAAACCAAATGCACTTATATATATATATGGTATGAAGTTTAAGTGGAACTGTACTCTCTACGGAACATCATAAACTAATGTATTTTCCTTCAATGAGCCTCTTTAATACATTCATTAATTATTCTATGCCTCACTTTCAAAAGGAAACATCAAGTTCATCATTTACATTACAATTAAAGTTATCTAAATAACTTTGTCTTGAAAATCGTTATATAAATTGAACTACGTGTTAAAGCCTCTTTATGTTTGAATTTTTATTTACTTAACATGTGATGAAATAACTTATAATATTAATGGAAACATAAATTGACTTTATTTCCAATACATCCAAATTTTCCCAATTTTTCCCCAATTACAATAGGTCGGAAATTGATGATAAATTTGATGAATTTTTGAAAATCGTCATTCTCATGTAATCCAATGGGAAATGGAGGGTTCAGGGCAAATCAGAAATCAGGATATCTATTCGGTAAACGATTCAGCAAAAAATATTTTCATATAGAAAATTGAATTGTCTAACTTTTTTGTTCACTATGTGTTTAGTTTACTTGATGAATACTAAAGTTACAGCGCTTCAAAGTTTTTCAAAATGATTTTTCGCCTCCTGTGTTATTTCAATGGGGGAGGTCTTTTGAAAAACAATTTTGACTTAAAGCCCTATAACTTTGTTGAACCTGAAGAAACACATCAATTTTTGGTTAGATGAAGTTACCAAATTCAATTGCTTACCTAACTCGTATTTTTTGCAAGGACTCGGATGGAAAGATATTCTGTCATATGACTTACGGCAAACCTACCATTTCCCATTGGTTAACATGGGAATGTCGATTTTGGAAAAATCATCATATTTATCATCAATTTTCGACTTATTGTTATCGAGGTAAACAATTGAGAAAATTTGGTGGAAATAAAGTCAAATTACGTTTCCATCAATAGTATGAGTATTTTCATCGCAAGTTAAGTAAACAGAAATGCAAAGGTAACACGTAGTTCAATAGGGGGGGGGGCAAAGTTTGCCAAACTTATGGAGGGGAGTGTACATCAATTTTGTTACAAAGTATACACATTATATCTAAGTAGCCAGTATGTTAATCTCACTTGCAGCTTTTCTGTAACATTTCAAGTATAATTCGTATTAGATACAGTACAAAATAAACGATAGGTTAATTGCTTCATAAATAAGATTTCTTTTGTTCAATTGGGTGCTCAGAAAGGTTACACCGAAGTCACATTTAATAGCAGTCATTTACAAAACACACTTCCAAATGTGATTGAAAATCCATGATGAGTCTTTCACCTGGATTATCTGACAGAAGCATGGTCTGGAGTTTTAATAGTGCCCTTTCTGTTTCATCAGTTTTGTCCAACTTTGGAAAAACCTCGCTCAAAAGTTTGCCAAGAGCATAGGCATCTGAAAAGATGCTTGGCTTGCAATAACCTTTAAGAACTTCAGGGGGAAAATGGGAGAATATCATGTTCTTCTGTTGTGATTGAGTAAGTTTTTTTGCTGTGCATTCTCGACAGGCTTTTGAAAAGTCACCTAAAATGGGTTTAAAACCTGACGCAGACGATTCCATCCAAATATTTTCTGTCGTCAGCATATTGTGTATAACCAACTTTGAATGGAGAAAGTCGACAGCAGAAAATATTTGGGGTATTGTATATTTTGCTATACGCAATGGTAATGCATTGCGATACTTTTGAATCAAACGGCTAAGCGTTAAGTCTCCATGGTAAGAAAGCATGACGCTGACATTACCTTGTATGGTAGCTAATCCATAGGTCTGCGTTATATTTTGATGACCACCAGAATCCTGAATATATTTTAATACACGCGCTTCTTGGGTACAAGTGTTAACAACACTGAGAGGTGTCTTGCCTGAAAATTGTTTTGCTACAAAAACCTCTCCCTTTACATTTATTCTAGACAATTCGTGCCTCTTGTTATTCAGAAAAACTTCTGGCTGATTTGCTGGACTTACACATATATCGTGTGTAAAATTGAAATCAAAATCAGACTTGACAGTCAAGGGGCTAGCTAATGATATGAGCAGCTGTTGAGAACAGTTGCAAACTCGACACCTACTGTAGTGAAAAGATTAGCTAGTATATGTACATGTATGTACCAAAAGTACCCTCTCAATGATCAGTTTCGACCATACCTGTAGCTCATGCTGACATGAGTTTTCTTAAACTACATACCTTTGCATTGTCTTTTCTTTATCTGTGTGCTCCATATACAATGTAAGAGTTAAGCAGCATTCAACTGAGTATTGCAACGCCCACTTTATGCCAGTATTGGAGTTCATCCATCACTGTGTGATCATTTGATCTGTGCTATCCACTGTCCCCATCGGTTGTTATCCTGCAATATGTAAATGATTAGGCTATCTGATTATCATTTGTATAACAAATATTAGTTTACTTATCATATGAACGAATTTCTGTATATGTTCAATAAATATTTTGTACAAATCTATGTACCACGATTCCTTTCTTGAGACATGTATTTCACTGAGTCTGTTCAATGTGTTCTTTCTACTGTTTAGTAGTTACAATATACACCAGTCAGAAATAACATACAAATATTTATTTCTATTGAGGTTGAATACCTGTGCATCTTTCACTAGTGATATTTCACGAACCCCGAAGTGCAAGTGGAATATCTTGTGAAAGCGTCAAGTGTCAAGCATTCACCAAAAATAGAATTAAATATTTATTTTATTATTCACTGTTATATTCCTCACTCACATATATGGAATGACAAACTATTGATGTCTAATTAATCATAACAATGTACCCCCGAATATATACAATCAAAATTACACTGGACTAAGTTGTGACAGATGAATATTGCTTGTTATTTTTGTTGATTTAATTTCAGTAGTACCATTCTTCTGTTTTCAGGGTAAACTAAATCAAATGTCTGAGAGGAACAAAGAAAAAAAATAAAATAAATATTATTTCATGTAACTTGTCTAAAGATATATGGCATTAACCAGGAAACTTATGCACTGTTCCTGTGGTGTGAATATGTTTTAAATGTGAAAGCAAAATATAAAAGTGTAAAAATAGGGTCTTGTATTACATATTTTCACAGAAAGTTATCAAGGTAAAAATTTTACCTCTTGCTCATAGAGACCAGTCCCGCAATCAGAGCAATGTTTTCATGGAGAGTATTATGGCAGAATTCCCGTTGAACGCAGAAATCAAGCACCTGACCTTGATATAGGGGTTGCAGCCAGGCTTGTCTTCAACTAATGCAACCTCATTATCCAGAACCGCAAAAGTAGCTGAAATCGGTCTCTCGTAAAGTTTTTTCTTAACTGGGGGTTGCCTGATTCCATCTATAATGAGAAAATGCATAGAGGTTATTTACTTGGAGGGATTGAACGTGGGGTTTATTTCCCTAGGATCATGATTTTTCATTTTTCAAATTTTCTTTTCTAAAATTAAATTCTTTTTCCTTCAAAAATCTTCATTTTGGGCCAAATTTTTCATTTTAGGCTGAATTTTCATTTTTTCATACACAGTACTTTATATCATTTTACTTCATGATTTGAATTCATACATTACAAAATGTTTTTATTTTTTTATTTAGTGACCTGTTTCTGTACATGACCATAAAATACTCTATAATCAGTCTTCTGATTAGTCTAATTAATCTTATGAAAAGGTTATAGTGTCACAATAATGGCAATACACATATGTTCAGGGTTGGCTCTGGAAATTGACTTGCGGGACTTGAATTTAAATAAATGAGCTTTGGGTCCAAAAAAAATGCCGAAGAAAAGTACAAAGAAACGGCCTCTCAGCCTTTAGGCCGAGAATGACACCTGCCTTTCCCCTTGGCCATCAGTGATAAAACAAACATTACCTTGTTTTTGTCCAATATGACTCCAGTGTTGCTTTCTGAATCAAACACATATTTAGCAGCATCTCAATGAAGGCTTTCATTCAGAGATGGATGTACTGTATTTTCCCACTGTATAGCCTACTGCAATCTTTGAGAAACTCCTCTTCTCTTTGTGCTGTAAAGGAAAGATCATTGTATATAAATATTTATTCCATAATTATAATAGCATGTTTTCCCTGGGAAATAAATAAGATTTCGCATCAGGCAAAATCCTGTATCAGATCCCATATTGGATCCTATATCAGAAGAATTCAATGATCATTTTATATCACACCATCATTGGGTGATGACATTCAAAACTTATAAATAAGTTTCAGTTGTGTTGGAGTATTAATATTTTCCCTGAGAAAATATTATATTGATCTCGAAGAATATCACTTTGACACTTGGGCTATTGCCCTTGGTCAATATGATATTTTCCTTGGCCAATATTATATTTTCCCACAGAATAAAATTCATATACCATCTCTCCCATTAAATAATCTCTATATAACATAATATTTACTATATACAAGGAAGTAGCCATAATGGAAATGAGGTAAATTTCAAAAAAATATTTATACTGAAACTGAAGTACAAATGTAGAGTGTTTACCTAAATCTTACTTAAATCTGCCTCTTCCAGAGATCAAATTGATTTTATTGGGGCAATACTAGAATAATGTGCTTTCCTTTATCTTCACAGACTTAATATACACATATTGTCCAAATAAATGTTTTCCTGAAAAATGGTGGTGAGGCAAAAGCCTCACCTGTCTCAAGTTTGGCTTCACCCATGTTACGGGTACAGGTACTGTATAAGTACCTGTATGAATACAGTAGATAAAAAATTATTGGTACATCCCTTTTGATATACAAATATGACCTTCATGCTGAACACATACTGTTAAACACTTTTGTACATGTTGTAATGTATTGTAAAACAGTACATTGTATTGTACTATACTACATTAATTATAATCAATATCATAAACCTTGTACATGTACATAAATTGCAATTATGTACTATACTCTAGTAATATTGGTAAACACTGAAACACTGTTTAATTGCCTACCTGTACATTGCAGTTGTTCAGCATAACATTACACTGTACTTTCAGCAGTCATATGATCCCAAACTCCATCCATGTATTAATCAAAGTAAATATCATTGATGCGGCATTTGGTATTGTTTGCTTTGTCTGGTTCCTAAAACATATATTGTCAGCTATACATGAAGTTCACAACAGTATAGCTCTTCACTTTATTCAGTGACTGACTATGTTGTAGTCAAAGCAGGGATTAAAAAAAATTGAGATGGGACAACTAAAGCCAAACTGGACTGAGATACAACATTACTGTAATTCAATTAAAAAACATCTGACACAGATTGGAACATAAATAAATAAATGACAGGTGGATTTGCTGAAGTGAGGATTTCCAATGTTAAAAATGTTGGAAAGTATGGGCTTTCAGATGGCCATGGTTGGTGATAGAAAATCCACCTGTCCACTCGAGTCTCAAGCCAATTCTCACGATATACATGTAGTGGCCTTAGAAGAAGGTAATTCCCAACTGTATTTGTCTTTGAAAAAGTTTGCTATCAGCTCTAGATGCATGGATATTGTACATAGCCATATACGTCAATGTAAAGGAGTATTCGGTATACTAGTATATGTATTGCATTGTCCATGGCAATGAAACAGTGCAATGAAATAGTACAATGAAATGATAAAGAAACAATAAGAAAATCAAAAATAAAATTGAAAAAAAATTCATGAATTCTGCAGTTCATTAGTGGTTTAGACACTATAGAGCCATATATATCATAAAATCAATAAATATTTGTTATCAAATATACATACAGTACCTTTCTCTGTGTCATTACATTGCAAAAAGACAATGATCCCTCGAGAATATGCGATATATTGAAGAGCAAATTTGTTCATTTTTAACCTGGATGGCGCCATTTTGAATGTCACATGATCACCATGATCAAGTCATGTGACTTAGTTTTCCAAGTATGTTATTTGCTCTATTTACACTCTAAATAAAATATGTTCGATAATAGTATTCATCTAATAGTTAGATGAAAATAATTCAGTTCAAATAATTCAGCTGATAACTTACAATGTCGATTATAATTGACACAACTCAAAAAAAATCTTGACTGGAATTTTTCTGGTCCTCCCGGGCTATTTACCTTATCAAATTGTAATCTTTCCTTTGATTGCTGAGGTCCAGGGACACATCTTCACTGATTACAAGGAATGGGAATATTCCCATCATCATCTGACTTGCTTCGGACACCAGAGAGATCAGAATCACTATCAAATAGGCTCTCAATAAAAATCACTGCCATCGTCATTTAGTGCCGCCATTTTTCCCGCCAAATATTTGTTTGAAAATTTGTTTTTATTTTTCCTGTTTTTAAAAGCTCGATCAAGTTGAGAAAAATGAACAAACAAGCACAGTGTTTCGAAATATTTATTGTTTTAGACATACAATATCATGTTTATTTGTGAAGATCTGCATGTCTTACATAATTACTGAGGGGAATCCCCTTTTACATGGGAATGACGTAAAGCCGATCTCATCGGCTTTAGCACTGAAGCAAAGGTTTTTCAGAGCCGATTTAATCGGCTCTCGCAAACACAAATGTGACGTCAGAGCCGATTTAATCGGCTCTCGCATTGACGGGGTTAACAACAAGTGTGTATATTACACGCGTAATGATCGCATATAATTTGAATCATGATTAAGAATTTTCAAGTGTCGTTAAATTTTTGAATTAGTCTTGAATCGTTTAAGCTGCATCTCTTGAATTTGGTATATGAGTATGATACCCTTATAATGCTTTGAGCTAATATCGGAAACTGATGTGTGATATCGTATTTATCCTCTCTTGGTGGTCTCTGGCG